TGGCGAATTTGTTTCTGATATACAAATTAGAATGCATCTAAAAGGCTTGTCTGATTGCCAAATTTTGGTTAATAAATCCCGGTATGCAAATTGAAAAGAATACAAAGTATCAAATTAGTATAAGCAATACCATATTTGGTTAATGGTTTCTGATATGCAAATTACAATGCATCAAGGGGATGGTTACTCGTAAATGGCTTCATAACTGTTCGTACATAATCAAAAAATCAGTTAAAACAATATTTACTACAAAATGTACAATTAACAAAGCAATACAAAGTTACAATATAAAACAGATGCATGATATATTGAAAAAAAAAATCTATGCACTTGTTTTACAAAATGTGTAACTGGTGTTAGATCAGCGAGAATGGCAGATGCTTCCTGCATGTACAATCAGGAAGTTGTGGTTGTCAGGACAACAATTGCATCATTTTGCAAGTAAGGCATGCTGGGAATAACACATGGATGGCTAAAAATATGGGAGTTGGAAAGGGCAACTCTCACAACGTGCATTACAAATAGTTCATATACAGAGTGTAATGGCAAGCTGGGCAGGGGTATTCAATTCCTGCATTACCCAGAGTAATGTCATTAATCTGGTAATCTCATACATTTCTTTCTATATTTCAAGGACAATATTTGAAATTAAACATTTCCATAATAATGATAATATGAAAAATGGGTTTGTCAAAATATATAAATGAAAGACTAAAATATGTGCCATATTTATACATGACTGATATGTAGCATAGATTCATAGGGTATATAGTGGTGTGATATGCAAGGAATACCTTGCGCAAATTGAGAGAACTAAATTTCCTAGTAATTCTACTGCAACATAGTCAGTCTGTGAAAGATCTGATTAGTGTCCTTGCTTATTCATGTACCAGGTAGTACTGTCAAATCTGCATTAGAAACCACGACTTATATTAAAATGTTACAATGCAACAGAGAGAAGGCAGCTTCTATTACAGCACCTGCACATACGAGAAATGGTAAAATTTTGGTTCTTAATTGTTCAGGAAGAATTGATGCAGCTTCTATCAAGGATACAGCTTCTAATGCAGATTTTAATGTATGTATGATGTGCGATTTTCCAATACGATGATAATGATGCTTATTTCTGTTTACCTAACCAAACCTTTTATAGAGTTTTGGATTGCGGAATGAGACCTTCATTGCTAACAACACTGTGTGCAAGATTATTAGTGGGAGATATTTGTTGCATATCACCATTGTGTTATGAAAATTTCTTGCCCCTATAAATCCTTGCTTGTACATTCATTGGGTTGGCGATATTATTATAAATATATTAGTTATTCATTGGGTTTAATTTAATAAATAGAATCTACTTAAAGTTGCATCCCCACTTTGAAAATATGTAAAACATCGCTCTCAGAACAAAATAAAAAACATGAAATACTGTTTTAGCTAACGTAAAGATATGATATTCTAAAAGTACATATCCTGGCCTTACTGGAGGGTATTGTTCTTTAGACAAACATAAGGACATAAGACAAACATAAGTGGTGAGTGTCGAATGTTTACAAATCCAGCTTAATGTAGGAGACCTGCTTATACAGTGGAATACTTTATTTTCGCTGGAATTAATTTTCGCTGAAAAGGCTTTTGGGGAGTTTTGTATGGAATTTATTTTCACTGATTTTTGATGAGAAATATAGGAAAAAAGTTTATTCGCTGGATTTTTTTGTCACGGAATCTTCCCTTCAGCGAAAATAAATTCCAAGCGAAAATAAAGTATTCTACAGTATTCATATTATGCAGTTGGGTTTTCATTTCTCATCCATAATTTAATCTCATCCATATACACCATCCACGTGATGGTGTATACGTTGATCAGGGGATGGTACTTCACAACTTTGCAAAATGGAGATGCAATTTTACATTTAACTATGATAGAAATGATTGTTTATAACTCTCAAATTCATAAACAGCAACCTAGGGAGTATAAAATAAAAATGAATGCTAATGCTAAAAACTGCAGCATATGGCCCTTTAAGGAACAAAACCTTAAAGCGCAGTGGTCGTCGCGCAGAGCGTGTTTGAATTTCATGTAAATAAACAATGTATTTTACACGCATTGTATACGTCGCTGAGTCCCATATCGAGGAGGACGGGGCGCGACGACTGTCGCCTATTAACCTCTTTAGTTAGATTTGTATTACTGTAAAATACTTTATTTTAGCTGGAATTAATTTTCGCTGAAAAGACATTTTTGGTGCTTTGTGTGGAATTTATTTTCACTGATTTTTAACAAGTTGAATGTAAAATATAGGAAAAAAAGGTATATTCGCTGGTTTTTATTTTAACTGAATCATTCCTACAACGAAAATTGCGAAAATTAATTCTAAGCGAAAATAAAGTATTCTACAGTATTTCCTGCCTGAACTTATATTAGGTTCAATTTTAGGTACAAGGTGACAAAAGTTGGTTTTGGAATTCAGCAACCACGGCATTGAGTGTAATGAAATGAAAGATAGAGATTTAAGTATGCAAATTGCACACATCCAGTCAGAGTACTCTTTTCAATAACCAGAATGCATTAACACAGTATTTTGCTCTTGAATACATTCAGGAGGATTTGTAAAATATGGTTTTGACATTTGTTTACAATTTGCACAAGATTTAAGCATAATCTAGTATTATCTAATCAATATATTATGTAATCAATATATTATCTAATTGATATATTGTCTTATCTATGATGAGAAGCCTTGTTTAAACAGTTATGCAAATTTTCAATCATAGGTTTCTTGAAATCGTAGTGAAAATCCAAACTGTTCGTGTCAAGACAGACAATAGTGTTTGTTATACGTTATCAGTCGTCTGCTGATGTGTGTATGCACAGTAAATGATGGGCGGGCCATTCAAATTATATTTCGCGTTATGCATTGTGCAGAGCCATGCGTTTACATCAATGGGTTGCAGTTTTTGGCTTATTTTACAATCTATATAAAATGAATTGAAATGTGTCACTTTTCTCATGTGGGCATGAAATTAAATATCTGAAAATATTGGAAATGATTTGTTATTAGTTTCATACAACATAGACCAGATATATCAGTGATTTATAGATATATCATTATTATTATCAAGATAAAAAATATTACATAAAATTATGCTTCCCATAATTTTTAGAAAATACTACTAATATAAATTTTATGTTACATGTACATAGAATAAAACAAATAACACAAAATCAAATAAATATGGCAATTCATAATTTCGCACCAGCAAAATTGACAAATGTCTGTTGTATCGATATGCAAATTAATTGCAAGGCAAGTCTATAATAATTGTGTAAATATATATATATAGATTATATCCATAATTTATTAAGTAAAATAATAATCAGGGAAGTAAATAAAAATATTAAAAATGTGATTATTTTTCTTCTTGAAATATTTTACAGGTACAGTTGATCAGTAGATTTTTGGCATAACTTAATAGAATCATTTGTATTGCATCAATGCCCCTGGTAACACTAAGAGGCATAGACATAAATACTGTATACTGTATCAACTGCATTTATTATGTGAAAGACAAATTATGAAGGATGTCTCTGGGGTCTTCACGAATCAAGTACAATCTTGAAATCACAAAAATTGTAGTGAAGATTTTGAAGGGTTTACAGTACAAAAATCATTGTAGAACAGTGCACTTAATTTGTTTTCTAACTGACGTGTCCAACTAGACCAGGAGAACTCTGGTTCAGTTTAGCCCAACTCAGCTTAATTTGGTTTAGATCAACAAGACCTGACCTGTTCTGTTCAGTCCAGTCCAGTCAAATCCAGTCCAGTCAAATCCAGTCCAGTCCACAATTCAGTTCAGACTAATCAGACTGGACCAGCCCAGGCCAGCCTTGATTTCAAAAGTCTCAAATATTTAAGAATTGTTTATGACAAATTGAAAATAAGAAACTTCCTAAAAACAGAAAAGCACCAAGAAATGTGATATTTCTTTTAGGTTTGATGCATTTTTTGTCTTATTTTTTTATACAATTTTCAAAATTTATATATCCAATTAAAAAAAACACAAAAAAAATGAGTTTATATGATAGCTTTAAGTTCTGGGCTCAGAATATACAGATCATTTACATGCATTACTTAGTGGACATGAAAATGAGGTAAAGTCGGATGATGATGATGATGATGATGATCATTTTCAAGGTAGAAGTACACAACAACATAAAATGAATATTGACAAAATATTTCAAATTAGTTCTGTATATAAGATCTCTTTATTGTTTTAAGAAAACCCAGAATGTTCAGTCAATTCTGTTCAAGTCCCTGTATTGAATTTAGGTGAATTGATATTTGAAACACAAAAGGGGTAAGTAAGTAAAGTAAATTCAACAAAATGATGCACATTAGTAAAAATAATAATAATATCTTCAGATACAAATCAGGGAATTGGTTGGTGAAAAGACTTTAAGTTCTATCAGTCAAAATTTCATTAAATCCGAAAAACAAATTGACACACGGATGAAGAGGACAAAAATAAACTTTAAAAAGTGATGGTTGTCATGCCGCATCCTGTTCAATATGTGACTTATAGCGATGTACACAACGCATGTAAAATATATTGTTTGTTGACACTACATCAGGTTGTCATGACAGCTGCTGCCATGACAACCTGAAATAGACAAAATATGTGGTTAATGTTTTTATTTGTTGAATTGCCATTTATTTTACACATATGATAAATTTAGTTTGGTTTAATAGAAACAAAATTCCGCATACAAGAATGCGTTTCTTGCATTTTTAGTTTTACGAAAAAACAATTTTTTTTTCCTTTTAAATGAAAATTTAAAATACATTAAAAAAACATTCTGGGCATTTTTTAAACATTTGTATTATCTACTTAAAAAGAATGTTTTGTTTAGTCAATATACTTTCTAAGTTGTTTATAAACACCATAACTGAAGGTAGAGGTAAATTTAAACTTCAGTTACATTATTTTTGAGGTAATTGTGGGTGATATCATTAATTGGTAGGTATGTACAGGGTGGACTGCAAAAACTTTACAAACATTTCTAAATCCTTATTTACAAAACACCAAAAGAACGATTATTTTTTTTTTATTATTTCTTTTCTTTCCCTTGTTTTTCTTTTTTATCTTTCTCTTTTTCTTTTTCTTCCTCCTGTTTCCAGTATTTATAGTTGTTCTGCAGATGAGTGGTCACAACTGAGCAGTCTGCAAAAGCTATAAAAAATAAACATTTGATCTATCAAGTTTTTGCAAATAATAACTGTTGATCAATATTGCAAGTACTGTATTTGAAAGTTCCACATTTATCATAAATTTTGCCTTGAGTGTGCCTTGCAACTCAAGTTGTCCCACCCGTTGATAGGTTGA